CTCACTGCTGAGCAGGGACCCCGAAGTGGGGCTCAATCATGACCTGAGCCAAAGGCAGACAGACGCTCAACCCACTGTTACCCAGGAGACCCTATCATCTCTATTTAAAAACAAAAAAAAAATCATACAATATTTTTGCAAATGGTAAAAGTTTAATCAGTTCTTTTTAGATGGCCAAACCAAAAACAAAACAAAACAAAACAAAACAAAAAAAAAAAAGAAAGAAAGAAAAGAAAAGGAGAAGGAAGAAGAAGAAGACAAAGAAGAGGGACGCCTGGGTGGCTCAGTTGGTTAAACGGCTGCCTTCGGCTCAGGTCATGATCCCAGCATCCTGGGATCGAGTCCCGCATCAGGCTCCTTGCTCGGCAGGGAGCCTGCTTCTCCCTCTGCCTCTGCCTGCCATTCTGTCTGCCTGTGCTTGCTCTCTCTCCCTCTCTCTCTCTCTGACAAATAAATGAAATCTTTAAAAAAAAAAAGACAAAGAAGAAAGGGAAACAGCGGAAGGATTGTTAGAGTATAAGCTTCTGGGAGAATCATGTCCTTAAATGTTCTGTTGCCTTGTCAGGATTCCCTGTTCTACATTCCGGCCACTACACTCTGCCAGATGCCCTGTCTTCCGTGTGACTTAACACAACAGCGAAAGACATTGGAAGAGCATTGATCCTAGATGAAGATATACCTATATTTAATCCTGGCACTGCCATTACAAGCTGGTGATCTTGGGCAAATTACTTTAAATTTGTGAATTTGTCTCTTCCGTAAGAGAATAACAGAATGAGGTCACAGGAATGATTTATGTGAGCAAATGTAGGGGAAGGATCTAGCACAGTTACTGGCATGTGGCTAATAGTCTACGAACATAGTACCCTTCCCAACCTCTCACTTCCTGTCCCCTTTCCTTTCCTGCCAAATACGTCAGGTTTACTTACTTCTTAAAATTCTAGGGGCGCCTACGTGACTCAGATGGTTAAGCATCTGCCTTTGGCTCAGGTCACCCATGGTCTCTGGTTCCTGGGGTTGGAGCCCTCTCCCTCTGCCTCTCCCCTCGGCTCATGCTCTCTCTCAAATGAATAAATAAAATCTTTGAAAAAAATAAGGAAATTAGAAAAAAACTGAATTGTATCACTTCTGGGTACCACACTGACTCCCCCAGATACAGAGGAACCCCTTACACTGAAGGACCCCCAGTTCAAAAGACAAGAAAGAACCTAAATCTTGGAAATTCTGAGGCCAGTATTCTCCAAACACAAGATTCTTTTTTTTTTATTTTTAAATTTTTATTTATTTATTAATTATTTTTTTAAAGAGTTCATTTATTTATTTGACAGACAGAGATCACAAGTAGGCAGAGGCAGGAAGAGAGAGAGGGGGAAGCAGGCTCCCCGCCAAGCAGAAAGCCCGATCCCAGGACCCCGGGGACCATGACCCGAGCCGAAGGCAGAGGCCCAAACCCACTGAGCCACCCAGGCGCCCTTTTTAAAAATTTTTGATTTATTTATTTTTGAGAAAGAGAGAGAGAGCAAGCATGAGTAGGGGGAGGGGCAGAGGGAGAGAACCTCTCACACAGACTCCCTGCTGAGTGTCGAGCCCCACTCTGGGCTTGATCCCACTACTCATGAGATCACGACCTGAGCTGAAACCGAGTCAGATGCTTAACCGACTGAGCCACCCAGGTGCCCCCCTCCCAGCTTTCTATGAGCAAGAATATACTGCCCATGAACCTCCAGGGCTCCTTTTCCCTGTCAAAGGCCCTTCCAGAAAGGCTGGACATATTCTTTGGCTTCTTTCTCCCCACCTACTTTCACTGCAGCCATAGAGGCAATTCTGGTAGGAATTTTCCATGAGTTAGGGACCTACGCTAAGCTCCCCGGGCTCTCTCGGTGTACCTCTATCACGTATCCATTCAACTAACTAGATTTGTCTTCCATCCCACTGGGCTAGAAAGCCTGTCAGTCTGAGTTTGCATTTTACTTGATGTTTTTATATCCTTCCACAATACCATTCATTCACATCTGATATCTTGAAGGTTCTCAGTAACACATTTTTTTTTTCTTACTTTCTTGTTCACCGTATGCCGCCTAATCCCCAAGCACCATGAGGGTAGAACTCTTACTGGTCTTTTTCTTTTTTCACTTGTTCTTTTTTTTTTTTTTTAAGAATTATTTATTTATTGGGAGGCGGGGAGTGTGAGCAAGTGGGAGGAGGGGCAGAGGGAGAATCCTGAAGCAGACTCCCCACTGAGCACAGAGCCAGATCCTGAGATCATGACCTGAGCCAAAACTGAGTCGGCTGCTTCACTGACTAAGCCACCCAGGTGCCTCACTGGTCTTTTTCTTTCTTAATTTTGAAATAATTTCAGACCCATAGGAAGGCTGCAGGATAAATTCACAGAAAGCTGGAATGCTCTTCACCCAGTTCCTAGTTGTTGATATGTTGCATTTGCATATGGTCTATCAGTTTCTCTTTATGTAAATCCATTGTTATGGACTGCATTGTGCCTTTCCCCAAATTAATTTGTTGAATCCCAGCACCTTAGAATGTGACTGTATTTGGAAATAGAGCCTTTAAAAACATAATGAAGTTAAAATGAGGTGGTTAGGGCAGCTCCATATCCAGTCTGACTGGTGTCCTCATAAGAAGAGGCAATTAAGTTATCCAGAGAGAGACAACAGAGGTGTACTGCCATAGCGAAAAGGCCATGTGAGGCCAGCAAGAAGGCAGGCAATGCAAGGCAAGGAGAGAGGCCTCAAAAGAGGAAAAGCCCTGACAACACTTTGATCATGGACTTCCCGCTTCTAGAACTGGGACAAAATAAATTTCTGTTGTTTAAGCTACCCCGTCTGTGATATTCTGTTATGACACCCTTAACAAACTGATATTTATACAGGTGACCCTTGATCCACATGGATTTGAATTGCTTGGGTACACCATGTAGAATTTTTTCGATAAAAATACAGTACAGTACTAGAACTGTATTTTTCTCTTCCTTGATTTTCTTGATAACATTTTATTTTCTCAAGCTTACCTTTTTTTTTTTAAGATTTTATTCATTTATTTGTCAGAGAGAGAGAAAGAGCACAAGCAGGCAGAGTGGCAGGCAGAGGCAGAGGGAGAAGCAGGCTCCCCATGAGCAAGGAGCCTGATGTAGGGCTCAATCCCAGGACCCTGGGATCATGACCTGAGCCAAAGGCAGATGCTAACCAACTGAGTCACCCAGGTGTCCCTTACTTTTTTTCTTTCTTTCTTCTTCTTCTTCTTTTTTTTTTTTTTAAGATTTTATCCACTTATTTGAGAGAGAGCACATGAGTCAGGTGAGGAGTAGAGGGAGGAGCAGACTTCCTGCTGAGCAGGGAGCCCAGTTTAGGCTCGATCCCAGGATCTGGGATCCTGACCTGAGCCGAAGCCAGATGCTTAACTGACTGTGCCACCCAGGCATCCCTCTGTAGCTTACTTTATTGTAAAAAAACTATATGGATATAATACATATAGCATAAAATATATGTTAATTGAGTGTTTATATTATCAGTAAGGCTTTTGGTCAACAGTAGGGTATTACTACTGAAGTTTCTGGGGAGTCAAAAGTGATATGAGGATTTTTGACTATGTGGAGGTGTGCACTCGTAACTGTAATATAATACAGTTATTCAAAGGTCAACTGTATTATATTATGCTATGTTTTAATATATATAGATATTTTTTCTGAAGCATTTGAAGACATGATGTTTCTTTATTTCTAAAGGCAAGTACATTCTTTTATGTAACCACAATATGGCTAGGTAAAGCAAGAAATTAACACTGATACCATGCTATTAGCTGATCTAAAGACTTTATTAATATTTTGCCAATTGCCCTGTAATATCCTTTACAGCAAAGAGAAAGGAAAAAGAAAAATGAAATAAAGAGAAAGAAAGATAAATTTTTTGGTTCCAAATCACACATTTCATTTGTCATGTCGAGACTTCTCTAAATCTAGAACAGTTCCTCATGCTTTGTTTTTCATGACTTTGACATTTTTCAGAGTACAGGCTGCTTGTCTTGTAAAATAACTCTGTTTGGGCTTATCTGATATTTCCTTGTGATTAGATTAAGATCCACTAGTATCTTCCAAAATTTCAGGACTACGTTTTTTTCCTAGGCCGTTTTAATATTCCAGGTCTGTGTTCTCTCTTCTCAGTGTGTAAGTGAAAAATCTTTAATAGTTTTTAGGGGGCTTAATGGTTTAGGAAAAAATCACTTCATTCAATTTTCAGACTTGTTAAGAGTTATGAAGTGATGTGTCCTCTTCATGATAACGCGTGTTTGTTCCATTACTGGTGGTATTAACTTTGATCACTCATTTAAGGTCATGACTTTCAGGCTCCCCTGTTGTAAATGTACAATTTCCCCCCTTTACTATTAATAAGTATTTTGTGGGTGAGATACTTTGACACTATGCAAAAAGAGTAGCCAGATAAAATACAGTTTAATTTTAATCGCAGATGACCATCGAATACTACCCTAATACAAGTATGACGCCTCCTCCTAAATTATTTCTCTAAAATTCAAATTTAATCGAGTGTTTCGTATTTTTACTTGCAAGATCTGGCAACCCGGTAAGTACATACCCTGTTCCTCATCCAGTTGTTTTGACATCCACGGTGATCCGTTTTTCCTATGATTTTGCCAAACAGTTTCTTTCTAACTCCATCATTCTTCTGTCTGCTTGTCTTTTTATCCACTTTTTACGCTGCCTGGCACACAGTAGGCGCGTTCAAGCAATGAATGAACCAACTCTCACTCGGGCCCGCCAGGCTTCCGTGACACCCGCGGCGTCCCGCAGGGGCTTGCCTTCTTCCACCAATCTCTGCAGGCTACGGCGGCTTCTGAGCCTTCCAGGGCCTCGCCGCCGGCTCTTCTTGCTCCAATCACAAGCAGGGCTTTCCTAGGAAGGGGCCAATGGGTGCGGGTGGGAGGCGGGGCCTGCCACGCGGCCGCAGTATAACTGCGCGACCCGCGCGCGCGCTTCTCTCCTGGCGCGGACCTCGGCGCGGGTCATGGCTGCTGTTTCCGTCGTGTCCACGTTGGCCACCCGGCTGCTCCGGCCCGCGCAGAGCTGCCGCCTCCGGCATCGCCCCTTCCACCTCTCGGTAGTTCGGTAAGGGGGTCCGGGAGCTGGGTCAGCGCCGAAAGCCGAGGGGAACAGAGGGTGGGGTGCCGCCCGGGCTCCGGAGGGGCGCCGAGGGACGTTCTAATGAGCATCTCTGTCCCGGGCGGTGACGGGGCGACGTGGCAGCCGAGCGCGGCCGCAGTCTGCGACCTGAGCGCTCGCTCTATGGGGCGGCTGATGCCCGGAGCCCGCCTTTCGGAGGGAGCCGGTCCCCGCAGCCCCGGGGCGTCGCCCTCTCTCCGGGCCAGTCCGTGGGCAGGACGGGGCCCACCGTGCGGAGCGAAGGCGCAGGCGGGCTCTGGCGCTCCCGGATTTACTACGTGGGACAGTGCGGCGGTTACCGGCCAGAACCTGCGGGCCGCCCTTGGCGGTGTTGCCGAGCCGCTTGGCCAAGCAGAGGATACGCTTTGGGGCGCGTGGGGAAGGGCTCTGAATGAGCAGCGTTCCGTGCGCTTCGGGATCCTAGCGGCGGACCGGGTTGGTGCAGTCTGATGAAATCCCAGAGCCGGCTTGCTCGCCGGGTACCCGCTCTTCCCTCCTCCTTCGGGAGGTGGATGTGGCTCCTGCAGCTCTTCAAGCTGCCCCTTACCCTCCCAGGATAATAAATGTGCTGCGGTCACCAGGGCTTTGATGCGGTCCACCCGGAACTACTCATTGCCAGGCTGAGGAAGGGAAAATTCCGGAGAGGAGGAGAGAAAGAGCTCTCTGCTTGCATTTTCTTAGGGAGATGATAGGTTTTTCTTCATCTTTTTAGACCTCGAACTTCGATTCTTAAACCTAGGTTGAAGAGTCCTCTGGGGGCCCGTGATTTGTCTCCCTAAATCTGCGCACTCTCTCGCCCATCTTTGGAGCTTTTGCACTGCCAGCGAGCTAAGCCTTTTAACAGCGGCCCCTTTCATCCAGACACTGCCCTAGGCTGTGTGAATTCAGAAATGATCGTAAGTCTTCTTTCCTAGTGGAACTCACCTGTCAAGGGGCAGAACCCGTGTGTACTTTCTACTCAGTGAAAAAAAAAATGTTAGAAACATTGCCGAGGTGCTGTCATAGCACAGAATGCGGATTAATGCGTTCTTGAAGACTCGGGACCGTCAGGGCTTTCCTTGTTCTGACCCTGACCTGCCTTTCCAGCTCCATCCCTCATTACTACTGTCTGTTCTCCCCGTTGCTCCCTTCCTGAGTTCTGGCCTCGTGTGCCTGTGGCTTTCATGATTGAAGACATTTGTAAAGATCTTCTAACTCATCTAGAAAACTGGACCAGTTACTCTCCAGTAGCAGATGCCCTCCTTTCACTAACGTTTCTGAATGAACAAGTAGACTTCCACATCTCTGAAGGCAATACTGTAATATTTATGGTTCCCTTGTATTGCTTTGATCACTGCTGCCTAGTAATTGTAAAACAGTAATATCTTTTATGAGTATGCATGTATTTCTTTTGAGGGAGGAGGGTTTCAGGAACATAAACTCATGGTTGGAGAGAGAGTACTATAGTAGACTAGGGTATAGGGAAAAATGGACTTTGGAGGCTGGAGGCAGAGGTTTGTGTTTGAATCTTGTTTCTACTGTCCTTTCTCCTCTGTATACGAGTTATTATAATAATCCCAAGGTAAATGAGAGTAATGCATGTAAAACTCTTAGCAAAATACCTAATGTTTCTAACAGATGTTAGTTCCATCCTTCTTTGTGTGTAATTAATTAGTAGATAACCGAACTCTTTTCCAGAATAACTTGATCATGAATTGTAAAATGGACCTGATAATTGTTTTTATGGAAAATTACAGTGCTCTAAGCTATTGAATTAGGAAGGCAAAGATGCTACTGAGTTGGATTTTAATTCTGATTTTTACTTGAACAGTCCTTGTGACTTTTTTCTAGTCTGTTCACTCATTTTATTCTCATTTGTCATCTTAATGAATTATTAAACACATCTGTGAAAAGCATCTAATTCCTACATAAGTGTTAGCTAATATAGTTAATACATTTTGGATTCCCTGTGGGACTGAGCTGAGCCTCTGTTTCTTTTGGGGTAGCAGTTACTTTATCTGCCCTTTGGCAGAAGATATGATGGGAAATTAGGTAATGACTCTCTGGCAGGACTGTGTTTCAAATTTTGCAGAGTTGTATGTGAAGAGGAGGGCTAAAACAGCTGATATTACAGAAGATACTCATTGTGTTGTTGCTTTATTTTTGGTTCTTGTTGCTCTTTGACGGTTTTTTTTTAAACCTAATTGGCATAACATCCAGAACCTGCCTTTGGGAGTTGGAACACTGGGTTCTTCCAGAACCCTGTGTTCTTAACTGTAGTAGATCATTCTTAACCCAAATATGCTTCTACCATTTTGTCTAAGTTAATTGCTTTCGTTTAAAAAAAAAAAAATATTTATTTGAGAGAGGGGAGGAGAAGTGGGGGAGGAAGAGAGGGAGACAGACAAGGGTGGAGCCTGACAGGGCCCTAGCACACAATCCTGAGATCACGACCTGAGCTGAAGGCTGACGCTTAACTGACTGAGGCACCCAGGCGCCCCCTCAAAAGGAACTTTTTAAGGAAATGCAATTTAAGACTTTATTGAATATTTATGTATGTGTATATGTTTACACACATATCCTTATGAGTAAGTAAATATATATATATTATATATTAAGAATATGGGTTGTGTGTGTAAATCTAACCAAAGGAAGAGAGTAAGAAATTAATTTTTATTGAATATATATGCCTTGCACTTTATATATGTTATTTTATTGAATATAAATCACTGTCGTAAGCTCTTTTAAAGTAATCTTTCATTTGGCAGCGTTCCAGGTTGGGAATATGTTTCTGGACTGGGACTACTCCCCAGGAGTGTTGCCAGAGGTGTGTGTGTCCAAAGCCCTTTGAATGAAGTCTTCAACTCTAGTTCTAAATGTTAACATGTTTTCAGTTCCTTAATATACCATGGGTGTATGTGAAATGCTAGTATATATTTTATGCTATGCTGCTTTCATTATACAAAATTTGGGTAAATGTATTGTTTGCTATAAAATTTTATCTTTTTAATATCCCCAAGAAACAAATACAAATTAATATAAAGTTTAGATAAAAAATTACTGCTTTATATCCAAGACATTTCAATCTGGTTCAAAGTAGGTATTTAATCTTAATGGAAAGGAAGCATGGAAGGTTTAAATGCTGTTGAAGCTTTAAAATTCCATTTTAATTAACAGTGGTCTTAAGAATGAATCATACCTGGGGCACCTGGCTGGCTCAGTAGGAGGAGTGTCCAGCTGCTGATCACGGGGTTGTAAGTTCAAGCCCCATGTTGAGCGTAGAGATTACTTAAAAATAAAATCTTAAAAAAAAAAATGAATCATATCTGACCATACAAGATAACCAGTATCTTGGTGTTATCCCTGAGAATTAAATATGTTCTAGAAGGGGAAATTTTTTCAATATTTCATATAATTGTGTGTCTCCTTGGTCTTGAGGTTGAAGCATGCTTCATGATAGTGGGGACAGAAAGAAAACGAAAGGGAAAGACATTTCCACTGAGACCTTTATGCTTAAAGAGCAGATTCTCATCCTACATTAAGTATTGGGAACTTAAAAAAATAAATAAATAAAAATAAAAAAGTATTGGGAACTTTATTATAAGGACATATATGGAAATAAGAAAACCAGGAATGTTCCACATTAGAACCCAGGAAGAGCTGCATAAACAGTCCTTATGGGGAAGAAGTGGTCTTTCAGGGATCAGAACACGGTTTTGGGAACTGGAGGTTCTTCTACGCCCTGAGTTTTCTCGTTGCCCCATCAGTAACAGTTTCTTCATCTCTTGCTCTGTCCTACTTTGGGTGTCACTGCTCTGTCTCTACTTTTTTCTGAGAAAGACTCTTGCCTGAGTCTTTCTTCTCCTCCTCCCACCAGCAGGTCCTCTATGGTTCTAGTGTGTGGAAATGTTTCAGGGAGAAGCTCTTCCCGGTCTGGTTAACTACCACTGCCCTGTGGCACTGAGTTTCTACGTCAGCTGGACCGCTGGCCAGCCTAGAAATCGTCCTAGCGGCAGATGCTCACTCCTGGTCTGTCAGATGTGGGCGGGTCATTGGGGTCCTGGGGTAGAGCACACGGCCACCCATGGGATGGAAACTCCTTCTTCTTACTGGGAATGTCTTCTCCAGGAGGGCTATGAGGAGCAATGGTAATTTTGAGGTCTGACCTGTCCAGAACATAGTCTGTTGGTTTAATTGCATAACATAACTTATATATTTAGAAGCACATAGAAATTAAAAGCCAATCGATTTAACTGGGAAATGGTTTGAAATATATGGCTGGATGCTAATAACACAGGAAAACACAAACTACAAAATTGTATATAAGCACATAGGAAACACTAACCTCATAGTGGTGACAGGTCAAATAAAACAATGCAAATTAAAACAATGGAAAACTTTTTTGGGGGTGTCTATCAATGTGTCAATGATCAGGGGGCAGGATGGTGTAGCGGTGAGAGCCTGGATTCTGGAGTCAGACAGCTGGATAGGAGAGCCCGCTTTGCCAAGTACTAGCTGGCACTCACCCTCTCCATGCTTCAGAGTAATGATAGTAACTGTTTCTTTATCTTTATCTTTATCAGTCAACTTTATCTTCCTAAACATGTGGCTGGACACAGATTAACCACTTTGAAACTGCCCTTCAGATATCCGTTGACCCTCAATTTAGGCACCATGAATTTTAATCTACTCTTTAAGTTTGGGGTATTTAATAACTTTTTTTTTTTTTTTGGTAGTCCAATTTTTACTTTTCACAAAAATGTAAGCTTCTTGGTGTTGTGACTGTGGTTGCCTTCTGCAGAAATGAAGCTGTCGTCATCTCTGGAAGGAAACTTGCCCAGCAGATCAAGCAGGAAGTGCGGCAGGAGGTGGAAGAATGGGTGGCGTCGGGCAACAAGCGGCCGCACCTGAGCGTGGTGCTGGTGGGCGAGAATCCTGCAAGTCACTCCTATGTCCTCAACAAGACCCGGGCAGCTGCGGAAGTGGGTATGTCTCACTCGCAGACCCTACTGCTGTCAGATTGCAGCTTATCTGAGACAAACTCCGTTGGCAGTCGTGATTCTTTTCTTCTAATTAGAAGGCTCAAGCACAGGAGGCTAATGGGATTGAACTGTATGCAGAATGTGGTCATAAAGAAATCAGGCCTATCTGTTGGAGAGGCTTATAGACTAGAATGGGAGTGATTGGTACACGCCGTGTCTTCTGGAATATAAGCTAAATTCTGTCTTTAGTCTTAACATTGGATAAGTGACCTTGAACATTGTTTACATTTGCTTTCCTTGAGTAGTAATGAGAGTCTGGCTGAGATGTTTGAGATTTGGTGAGGAGGGCTCAGTGATATGGCCTAGAACACCTAGGTTTGAGGGAAATGACTCTGACTTCTGGGAAATAGTTTTTGGCTTCTTTACCAACTGGGTCCAAAGCCAATTAAATTGTGCAGAGGGGGGCAACTAAGTGGCTCAGTTGGTAAAGCGGCTAACTCTTGATTTCATCTCAGGTCATGGTCTCAGGGTCCTGGGATTGAGCCCCACATCAGGCTCTACACTCAGCAGGGAGTCGACTTGAGGATTTTCTCTCTCTCTCTCTCCCTCTGCCCCTCCCCCTGCTTGCATGCTCTGTCTTTAAAATAAATAAAAATACATCTTTAAAAAAATCATGCAGTGTGGTTAGAGTTTGGGATGCAGAAACTGAGGTTCTAGGTGATGGGAGGTTCGTGTTCAAGGTCTTGCTATACCACAGACTCTATGATGGTAGACCTGGGGTAGGTGGGCTTGGCTCTGCCTCTTCCTGCTCCTCTGTGGGTCAGTGGTATGAGTCCTAGATGCCCTTCCCTTCAGAAAGGCTGTGAAACCACTGGGGTGTGTGGGCCATTGACCAGACCATGAGTCCTTGGTATCACTGAGGATTGAGGCCTCCTGCCCTTTTCTTTGAAATAGCTTTAGAACCTTTGAAAATGGCAAGCTGTGGCTTTTTAAGACACTGGGAGAAGCACAGTGCAGTGGAAAGGACATGGACTCCAGAACTGGAAGGACCGCCTTCATCACTATGTGGCTTGTGTTTCAATTTTGCTGAGCCTCAGTCTTCTTGTCTAAATTGAGGTTCAGGAGGATAGTGTAGAAAAATGTAGCTAATTGCCAAGCCAACGTTCTCTAGTGTGTATATTTGTGAAGTTACTTTTCTGGGTGCTTTGAGAACTGATCCAAGCTCTTTAGCTACCAGCGTTGGGCGTGATACAGAACCTCTGTGTTACAGTACCATGGCAGGCAGCATAGCATTACTCATCAAATGCTCAAGATTTCTTTTTTCTTTTCTTTACTTTTTAGATTTTTGTTTATTTATTTATTTGACAGACAGAGATCACAAGCAGGCAGAGAGAGCTGGGGCGGCGGGGGGAGCAGGCTCCCTGCTGAGCCCAGAGCCCGATGCTGGGCCCGATCCCAAGACCCTGGGATCATGACCTGAGCCGAAGGCAGAGGCTTAACCCACTGAGCCACCCAGGCGCCCTGAGATTTCTTTTTTAACCTTGGAATTTTCTCATAGGAATCAACAGTGAGACAATTGTGAAACCAGCTTCAGTTTCAGAGGAAGAGCTGTTGAATTTAATCAATAAACTAAATAACGATGACGATGTAGATGGCCTCCTTGTTCAGCTGCCTCTTCCAGGTGAGTTTTGGACTCTATCACTTAGAATGATTTCTGAGGAGTAGAGGATGCTTAGCTACTTTATACACCCGGCCCCTTAGGGGTTTGTCTTAAAGGAGAGGTAAATTCAGGAGAGTGAATATTTTATTAGGTATGCACAGACCTACACAGAATCCCAATTCCTCCTTGACTTGGGGTTGAGATCTTGATACAAAATGGCAGCAGAGGGAAGCAGCTGTAGAAGAGGATGCTGCCTTTGATATTGGCATTTGGCTTTGCTGGGTGTGTGTTCCTTCTGTGCAGATGAAGAAGTCAATCACCGAGGCAAGTCATGGAAGAGGAATAGGTTTGTGTGATAAACCAGCTAAGATGGTGTCAGGCGGTGCAAACTATGTGACAGTGACTTCAGGCTGCTGCTCTGCTCTCTGTTTCAGAGCACATCGACGAGCGGAAAATCTGCAACGCTGTTTCCCCAGACAAGGATGTGGATGGCTTTCACGTAATTAATGTAGGGCGAATGTGTCTGGACCAGTACTCCATGTTACCGGCTACGCCATGGGGTGTCTGGGAAATAATTAAGCGAACTGGTAGGTATATCCCATAGTTGTATGTCTGTGTTAGTATCATGAAACCAGTACTCGCCACTGGTAACCGTGCCTACAGTCGCGGAGTGGACACTTGGGCCACACGTCCTCCAGTCCTGCCCCTGAAGCCTGCCTCTCCCTGCGGTTGCCTGTTTTGACTATTTGCCTGTGTTGACTTTGTTGCTATTTAATCCAGAAGCCTCTGTAAAGGAAACATAAGGTTTCTTTGCATTGATAGTGCACACTCATGTAGTATTTTTTAGCTTCCAGGGTCCTTTTCCTCATGTTCTTTTAGCCTTTAGGATGTGTAGCAAGTGATGGGACCTCCTTGACTGATAAGCCTTAGTAACTCCCTTGCTTATCATGGTCAGATTCATGTCCTAGGCCCTCTGTCTGCCTTCTCTGGTGCTCCTTCTAACATAGTCTAGCGCTCTTTTCATGTAAATATATATATTTCTTCATAGGCATTCCAACCCTAGGGAAGAATGTGGTTGTGGCTGGGAGGTCAAAAAATGTTGGAATGCCCATTGCAATGCTGCTGCACACAGATGGGGCACACGAACGCCCTGGAGGTAAGGAAATGGCCTTCAGAAGAGTGTTCCCTGCTCGCTTATATGGGAACCTTCAGAAGGTGTCCTGTGTTTGTTAAACTTTGTATTTGTATTTGCTATAATTTTGTTAGCAATTATTTGGGGAGTAATCTTTGTAGGAGAAGCTGAACTCTTGTCACCTGAAACTTTATTTATATTCATTTATTAGGAACTAGTACAGAAATGGACATGCCTCAAATATATTTGAGTTTTGAGTGTAAGCATGGTTGTAGGCAATTAGACATTTTCAGTTATGGCTTTGATAGTTGGAACTAAGAAACAGTTCCTAGTAACCCATCCTGTATAATTTGATAGAAAAATATCTTAGACCATTGCAAAGGATTGACTTGATAAGACTATAAAATGTTATTATCTCAGGTTCTGATAATTTGTCTGAGAAAAAAGCTCAGAAATCAGTTATCACATGTGATTATCATGACCTTACATGATTATATCAGAAATAATGGCAAAACTATGTATTTTTAGATACCTTTCAGTACACTTATTTTTTTAAAACTTGAATAATTCTAGTGACATTTTGCTTAGGAAAGGTAAAATTCATGAAAGACTGTTGAGTAGGATAAGGATTAAATAAATTTAATTTTAAATGATCCCAAAGGGTAGAGTTAGGATGAGGGGATAAAAGTTATAAGAAACTGGGTATTTACCCAAAGGTTACAAACATAGTGATCTGAAGGGGCACTTGCACCCCACTGTCCACAATAGCCAAACTAGGGAATGAGCCCAGATGTCCATTGACAGATGAATGGGTAAAGAAGAAGTGACATATATATATGAACTATTATTCAGCCATCAAAAAAAAGAGATCTTACTGTTTGCAACCATGTGGATGGAACTAGAAGGTATTATGCTAAGTGAAATAAGTCAGTCAGATGAAAGACATTTATCATAAGATTTCAGTCATGTGGAATTTAAGAGACAAAACAGGATCCTAGGGGACGGGAGGGAAAAATAAAATAAGATGAAATCAGAGAGGGACACAAACCATAAAAGACTTCTTGACTGTAGAGAACAAACAGAAGGTTGTTGGAAAGGAGGTGGGCAGGGGGGATGGGGTAATTGGGTGATGGGCATTAAGGTGGGCACTTGTAATGAGCACTGGGTGTTATATATAAGTGATAAATCACTGAACTCTACTTCTGAAACAAATAATACACTCTATGTTAATTGATTGAATTTAAATTAAAAAAAAAAAAAAAAGAAGTGGTGTTAATTGCTGAAAAGTAACTGGTACTTAGCTGTCCAGAAAATATGGTACATGAATTAAGTCAGTTACTTTTTTCAGGGATGGTGAATTTCTAAAATGGGTTGCCTGGTTCTAATCCAATCTCCGTTTTGATTCAGAAATCAAGACATGTATTTTTTAATCCCTAGGTGATGCCACTGTTACAATATCTCATCGACACACTCCCAAAGAGCAACTGAAGAAACATACAGTTCTTGCCGACATCGTGGTGTCCGCTGCAGGTAAGAACCCCAGGGAGGCGGGGGAAGGGTGAAGAGTGACTGCTTGGAATTTGCCTGCCTCCCTGCCACCCCATTCACCATTCTTCTAGCCGTGATACTGTATGCGGCCCATAAAGACGAGGCGAGAACCGTGTGTGCGGCGTTGGTTTCTGGCTTTCCAATCTTGACTTGATGGGTGAATGTTACTTCAGAAACCTCTGAATATGTCTGTTTACTGTATGAAGTTTCAGTGGTTCCTTGGCTAATGGTTTTTACAGGTTTTCATCAAACAAGCTAATTAGTTCTTCCAGGTCTTTTAAAACTGAAATCAGATAAGCCTCTGATAAGTAGAATCTTCCTTTCAGGACTAGTGATCATTCCTCTCATTCCTCTCTGGTTTGTAGGCATTCCAAATCTGATCACGGCAGATATGATCAAAGAGGGAGCTGCAGTCATCGATGTGGGAATAAATAGAGTTCAGGATCCCATCACTGCTAAACCCAAGTTAGTTGGAGATGTGGATTTTGAAGGTAAATGATATAATTTTCTTAAAATATAAAATCAGTAAATCGTACCTTTAATGGACATTTAGGACAGATCATTTACTTTTAACTTATGTTACTCTTGGGGCACCTGGGTGGCTCAGTTGGTGGAGCATGTGTCTCTTGATCTCAGGGTTGTGAGTTCGAGCCCCACGTTGGGGGTAGCAATTAAAAGAAAAAAAAAAAAACAATTACTGTGGTAATTCAAAATGTAATCCTCGTGAATTAAGAGAAACTTAAATTACAGTCATTCTAGGACCATTTTAGTTGTTTATATCATAAAATTATGGGGACCAGGTATAAACTTTTCAGGGAGGTGTTTGCTCTTTCCTTAAGGTTACTTCATAATTCAAATGATTTCATCACTTTCAACAAGTCTGAAAATTTAATGAATTGACTTTCTAAAACCACTGAATCTCCTAGAAGGTGTTACAGATTTATCATGTTCACATTGAGGGGAGAGATCACAGACCTGGCATGTTAAAAATGATCCAGGAAAGAGCCACGTTCCTGGATTTTGAAATATACTAGTAGGTTTCTCCTTTCAGTTCTTAAGCTATCATGTTTATCTCAATTTTAGGTGGGTAAACCCATTTCTAGTTTTCTATTTCTAATAAAGCAACCAGACACAAGCCTAAGTATCTAAGTATTTTTCCTTTAAGATTAGGTTAGAAAAAATCTTACTTATCACTTTCCAGAAAATTACTTTGCTTTGGTGCTTGGGCAAACAGTATAGTTAAATAAATATAGTCAAATAATAGCAAATAAGAGAGTAAAAGTAAGAAAATATTGTAGGTAGGTATTAATTGGTAATATGTTAATATTAATAATATAATAATTATAGTTATATCTCACATATAGTTAACTCCTTGAGGTTTTTCTTTCTAAACTGATTTAATTTATTTGACAGAGATCACAAGTAGGCAGAGAGGCAGGCAGAGAGAGAGGGAGGAAGCAGGATCCCTGCTGAGCAGAGAGCCCAATGCGGGGCTCCATCCCAGGACCTGAGATCATGACCTGAGCCGAAGGCAGAGGCTTTAACCCACTGAGCCACCCAGGCGCCCCCTAAACTGATTTAATATGAAGGAAAAGTTTGGATGGTAAATTATAGGTCATATAGATGTATAAATATTCATTGAACAACTCTTATTACATGAATGTTCTTTTTTTAGTATATTCGAAAGCCTTTACTCCTAAGTGATATAGATATGACTTATTTTTTAATGAGTTTGAGGCTTATGAAGGTGCTTATGTATATTCTTGGTTTTTCTTTGGATGCTTCTTCCATGGTACGTTAAGATGCATACATTTCATTTCCTTTGCCAGAATTAAGGCAGAGCATACCCGTCTTGTTTCTATGTAGGAGTCAGAAAGAAAGCTGGTTACATCACTCCAGTCCCGGGGGGTGTTGGTCCCATGACTGTGGCAATGCTGATGAAGAATACCATTATTGCTGCAAAGAAGGTGCTGAGGCTTGAAGATCAGGAAGTGTTGAAGCCTAAGGAGCGTGGAGTAGCAACTAGTTAACTGTTGCGTCTTCTGTCACAAACATCACTCCAAGCCAGTCCAAGAGGCAAAACAGGCCAATAGAAATGCAATATTTTTTATTTATTTTACTGAAATGGTTTAAAATGATGCTTTGTATTTATTGAAAGCTGAACTGGGTGGGCGTCTGTGTGTGTGGCTCTGCTGTACCTCACCACGGAGCAAGCCGGCCTCCAGCTAGGTCGTCTGAGCCGGCCAAGAGAAGCACTTCACCTGGTGACAAACGGGAGGACATCGCCCCAGTAAGATCGGGTGCTTAACTTTGTCAGGCCACTTCAGTTAAAATTTGCCTTTTCTAGGATTGCATTTCCCAAGTGCTATTCCAATAAGAGTTGATACTCATTTTAGGTTCCAAACCTTTTGAGTTCAACTAGTCAAACCAAAGGAAAAATGTTGCTAGAGAAAATTAGGGAAAAAGTCAAAAGGAAGAAATGATAATTGAGTAGAAAAAAACATTACTGTAATTTACATACCTATAGTATGTAAAACTACATGTGAATGGTGTCCTGAGCTGTCATTCCGTGGCTTAGTCATTGGGAAAATATTTAGGGTAGTTCCACGTGCTGTCAGTCCTCATCCCATGTGTGTTATATTCATGAGGCTTTCCCATGTTCCTCTAAGGTTGAAAGACTTATTTTATAGATTATTTGTGTGTTGTCGCATTTGGCTTTTCCTCTATCCTTAAAATTCACTGTTACACCTTTGTACTCTTGGGGGTGTCTGTATTGGTTTCCTCGGGATATCTTGAAACCTATTTTTGAAAAACAAAACTTGGGCTTGATAATCATTAGGATTAGGGCAGCCTGTTTAAGTATGCAACTTATTTTTCCACCAAAGACTTATTAGCAGCTGCCTGCTTTTTCGCTGATGTACCTGTTGGCTTTCCCCAATGGGTTTTTGAGAACTTGAGTTCATATTGAATTTAATCAGACTTTCTGATTAAAAAGGTTTTTTGTTTGTTTTGCGCCTTTTTTTTTCTTTTTTTTTTTTTTAAATAAAACACTTCTGACTGGTGTGGAATGAGTTCTGCAAAATACTGTATCTTCCCGCCTCTGTTCTAGTTTTGACCTAATCATAGTTCATCTTTCTGGTTGGATGTAACAGATGTCCGTATTCCTATATTTGGTAACCCCTAATGCTATGCCTTAAACAAAGTGCTGTGGAGAAGCCAGTCTAGTCCTTTCAGTCTGTGCCAAGCTGGGAGCTTAATCTGCAAGATTCATTTAAGTGGTTAGGCTTATTCCGGGTGTTTTCTAAACCATGAAGTTGAATTTACACATTGTTGGATTTACAGAGGACTTCTTGACGTGTCTGCTGACAATCCCCCTTCAGACGCCCTGCTCCCTGCTTTCTATACATTTTTTTTTTTCTTTTTCAATGTGTGTGTTTGATTTGACAGATTGGAAGGTATTCGCTGGGCACAGTTTGAGGCTGGGATAGGTCCCTGTGTATTCTCTCTTCTCTACCAGGGCTGAGTATTTTGGGGAGGTGGGATGAGAAGGCAGGCAGGGATGTAATTTGGATAGACAGATCCCCCTGCTCCAGGCAGCTTGAGGTGGAAAGAAAAGAACAATGGGGAGCTGACTTTACTCTTTTGATAGTTTCCTGGGTATGAAAGAGGATAGTTTGCTGGAGATGTTTTTGTAAGCGAGATTCAGCTCATGTCCATATCCCATGTTTGCTGACTAAATTATTAAACATGGAGCAAGATGAGCAGACAAGATTAAGTTTTATTGAATTATAATTACAAGTGGAAAGAAGTTCTGACCTACGACATGGAGAAGTAACAATATGTCAACCTGTTAAGAGCTGTCAAAATTAAAATGTTCATATATATACAAAATATAAATGACATATAAGATGAAAATTACAGTGATCAATTTACAACAACAAAATTAACATTGTAGTTTCCAGCTTGTTTGATTAATCAAGCACATTTATTCTGAATCCATAACATTTCTACAGTTTAATTTGGACAAAGTACTATTGGAAATCTACCAACTTTTAAAACTGAAATGTTAAGGGTCGATTGTTAGATCTTCCAGGATTGGTGCAGCTGATGATACAGAATTTATCCTTAAATTCAAGTGATGGTTCTGGGTTAGAGAGCAGCTAAGTCATTTTGTGCGATGAGTACAAGCAGGAGAGGTGTAGGGCTTTATCTCTTGACAGTATCCCTTAGAAGGGAGCTCTGAGATTTAACTTAACACAGTTTTCTAGGGACCAGGCACTGTATGAAGCTCTGAGGATTGCAGGCGCAATTGGCTGTCCTCATACCCAAAGTGTTAATCATCTAGTATCGTTTGTCTTTAAAAAACAGAAAAGAGTGAAGAAGAAAAGCACCTGCTTTGGTCACCATGAGTAAATGTAGTAACTAACCAAAGTGATTTCCTCAAGATTGAAATCCATAGTAGTTTTGGAGAAAGTAAATGTCAGCTGCACTGTGGCTGTCAGGCACATAATGGGTGTTAAATAAACAAGGTTGGTGTTAAGTGGGGATTAAAGATAGACTGATAAGTTTCGTGAGGACAAGGTTTGCTTCCTTATCAATGACTTATTAATCTATCCAACTTCCAATCATTCCTTTAAAGTACTAATCTTTTTTTTTTTTTTTAAGATTTTATTTATTTATTTGACTGACAGACTCTGCAAGACAGAGATTACAAGTAGGCAGAGAGAGGAGGAAGCAGGCTCTCCGCGGAGCAGAGAGCCTAATGTGGGGTTTGATCCCAGGACCCTGGGATCATGACCTGAGCTGAAGGCAGAGGCTTTAACCCACTGAGCCACCCAGGCGCCCTTAAAGTACTAATCTAATACTGCAAAGTTATAATCTAATATTTTACATTAGCACTGCCTAACATGCAGTGGTCCTGTGGATGGGAGTTTGACTTTGGGAGCAAGGTCATTGGAAACTTGGAGGAAGGACCAACCCGAGAGTAGAAAGAAGTCTTATTCTGGTTGTGAAAAACCAGTGATACTAATTTAAAGGATCATTTTGTGGACGTAATGTGGTTGGGAGTTTCATTTTAACTAGAACAATTTTATTTTGAAAACATTTGCCCGCTCTCATGCGTTGGTTTTCCATTGGTAGACTTTGGGCACTGGCTTTTCAATCTGGGGAAGCTCTAGTCACACTTCCGTCCTGGCCCTGGGCCTAGAGCCCATGCAGATGGCGCAGACTTGTCGTAGGAGCTTTAGAAAGCTGCATGAGATGGGAAGACGAGATAGGGCATTTTATGTGTTTCTTAGTGTGTCAAGTTGCAGAACAAATTTTCCAACTTTGGTCTGTTGAAGTATGAGCATTTTAATGGTTTTTTTCGAGACCTTCTAGATACTTTAAAATCTAAGCTTAAAAAAAATCTAACTGGTATTTGTTTCAATAAAAATTTACTATTGCTCCCTTTATCTTAGCTATATTTTGGGAGGCAAGCATCGTTTTCATTTCAAGAAACATTATAATTCCTATCCTGGACTGCATTTTAAAATAAGGTATTATGTTTCTATTGGTTGTTTTTTTATAACTACAGAAAGAAGGAGACCGCTTTGCACGTAAGTAGTACTTTTCACCCATAGATCAGTTTCCTAGCAAGTGGAATGACTCCATCTGCTCGGCAAATAGGGAAACCGGCTCAGAGAAGAAGTTCAGGGGCCTGACCCAGGCCTCACGGTGAAGATGCAACCGTGTCCTCCCACAGTGAAGATGAAGCCCTGTCCAGGGGCAGCTGCATCCTAGAGGGTGGTCTCGCCGTCAGTCTCTCTTCCGTATTTGTCCACGTCTGTGAGGTCACAGTCGGACTCCATCTCTATCTTCACCTGTGGCACCATGAACACTGGGCTCTGTGAATAGTTGAAAGCAGGCGAAGCTGGACAGGAAATTCTGAAGTGCAATGTGATGCTGAATGAGAAAAAGAGGGAAGGGAGAGTGACTGATCCAGTACTAGGTGTTTTCCACGCTATCCCCCAGAGCAGGGCTCTAAAGCAAGTCGTTTTATCCTTGCTTATGAACTCTTAACGTCAGGGCAACAAGCCACAGCCTCTGCTTGGCCTTCATTGTGCTTTGCTGAGGTAATCTCGCCGGGAGTCTCTGCCCGGTCTTCACATGACCACCAAGGTGAACTTTTGGGATCAACTGTGTAAGAGAATCCAAGCTCCTTAGTTTGGCCAGTCGGGGCCTTTTATGTTTGCACTCCTGGTTACTTCTAGTCTGACTGCCCGTCCAGCCCAGCAGTCCTCGCCGTGTGTCTATTTTCAAATGGTATTTCAGGCATGTGCCCACTGCCTGCAATGCCCTTCTTTTGTCACTTTTCTTCTTTATTCTGTGTACCTGGCAGTCTCCTATTTATCGTTCTTGGTCTTTCCAGATAAGGCAGATCCCTCCCTTAGACGCTACTTTCTCTTACGTCTACTCCCTTGTTCTCGGCACACGGAGCTGTAGGTCTTTGTTCGTAGGCCTGTCTCTAGGCTCCCAGGGATTAAGCATCATGCCTGGTAGACCTCAGATGCTTAATCTTCGTTCAACTAGATCATGTTGCTGAGCCTTTCCCTTCCTGAAATGGAATCCTGTTCAGGGCTCTCTGGTCCCACCTACTTACATAGAGCTGGTAAAACACCAGTGTAGCTGTACCAAGTTTGTATTGGAAATGCCCCACCATGGTCCACGTTTTCTCTCCACGGACTGAAATTGGGGCAGTTAGAGGTTCAATTTGGTGTAGGCTACTTAAAACTAAAAAATTGGGGTAGACTGCTTTTCTCCCAACACTTTTATATATAAAAATCGGTGGCATTTGTGTAATGGTGTAGGGACCCTGACTGGGGAGGTGGGATGAGAAGGCAGGCAGGGATGTAACTTAGCCCTATGACATTCCTGGGCTAGAGTGGCCTTGGGTTCACTACTTAGGGGGGTTCGTTACGGGGTTTCTCTTCTCATCTTGGCAATGTGGTAACAGCTTTGACTTCTAACTCAGATGATCTCGTGCATGTTTTCTAAAATCTCTTGGATGAGTGCATCTAAATCTGGAGGTTTATCTCCCTATAGACTTGGGATAGACTATGCCTTGCTCACGTGTGATGTAGTACAGTGATGCCCATCCATGTTAGGGCACCATGTAGGAGCACCCTACTGTCTTCCCCAGTAACAGCTGAGGCTGACTTTCTTGCCCCTGGATTTCTCTTCCGTTTTTGAGCCCTCCTTGTTTTCAGTCATCAAGTTGTCCACTTTTTTCCTGGCTTCTCATTAAGAACACTAAGGTATCACAGTTGGCACAGGGAGCCCTGGAAACAGCCGGGAATCTTTTTTGACTGTTCTCTCCATTTACTTTTTCTTTTCTTTTTTTTTTTTTTTTTTAAA